AAATCTCAAAGTTTACAGTTCTGATCAAATAAAATCAATATTTGAGAATTAATATATTCATTGAAATCTCATCTACTTATTATTTATTCCATTGAGGACTCACTTTGAGTGCAAAAATGCAGCACACCCAATATAATTACTTTTTTAAAAAAAAGATATGTACTGTGCATTTAGCCCAGCATTGCAGTAAGTGCTAAAGATGTGATGAGGAACAGGTCAGACACAGGCCCTCAAAAAGCTTAACAGACTAAAAAAAGAAAAGAAGAGTAAATGGGCAATTTTAATACTTCAGAAAAGGCCAAGAAGAAGTAGCATAGCTTTCCACAGTCAAAGTAAAATATAAGTAAACTGAAGAAAATCTGGCTTCTCTATACCTTCTCAGACTTTAATACAATAACACATCCCTAATCGATAGGAACCCCTTGCCTGGTATGTCTTACCAACCATCACAATCACCTTCCTTCCTGTAATGTCTTATTCTTACCATTCGTTGGTTGTTTTATCTGCAAATCTGGTCCAACTCTCCAATGGACGTGTTTATGTTTGCCACCACTGCCAACAAAGCAACTGTGATACGATCCTCACCCAATCCTCTAGTTTTCTAGAATTAACACTAACAGAAGAAATTCATTTGGCAGATTTATGAAAACAATTACTGAATGCCCTCAGAGGTCCTTCTAATACTGCAAGATGTCAGAATGGACTAGCTGAATAGCAATTCTACTTTCCATATTGTTTTTGTCCTCTGATTTCAGATTTTTATCTTCAAAACTTATAGAGCTGTCCAGTCATAGTTCATGGGAATTACAGTATTGTAGCCCATCAATAACCTAAGCCATCCTTCTAGTAAATAGATTCAATTCCTCCTTAGTCAGTTGGTCAGCATGGTATTTTTTATCACAACCCGTTTACACTGCAGAAGAAACGGTTGTCTCATGCCGTGTTAAAACTATCTGTTCAGAAGTTCAAACCCATTAAGTGATAAGGGAAAACTGCTCACTAGCTCCCAAATTAAAGAGCTATGATTAAGCGTCATCTCTGGCTCTCATAATTTAACTGAGCCACAGTACTGAAAGCTTTCTGTTCAGAAATGATAAAGATTTTTAACTTGAAAGGAAATTCCAAGTACACTGCTCTTATTATTAGAATTGTGGAGTTGGGATGAAGGAAAAAAGAGAATTTCTGTATTTATGGGCAACAGAAATTTATGGCCAAAAAATTCTGAGACAGCAAAACACGTATATTCTAAATTTTCTATACAGGTGACATAAATAAAAATTTTCATTTATTTCTATGAAAAATCGCTAGAAACACACATGATCATATTGTTAAAGGAGAAGAAGAAAATGTACAAGAGAGGTAAATTCTAGTGTTCTAATACTTTTATTTTCTCTTTAAGATTTTTTAAGGAGGCTTCTCTAAAGCACAGCTGGCCTTCGAAGGTGAACCTCGTCTTTCCAACCCCCCCTACCTGTGCCTTCCTCACCAACCTCAGTATATTATCTGGGGTGACTCAGATAGTCTCATCTTCTTGCCATTGTTCTACGCATACAAAATTAGTCAACTAAAGAACTCATACATATTTCTGTATGACCACATTTAAATATTCCTTTTTTCCAGGAGCTATCTTTCATGAGTCGACCGCATCATACCCTCCCGTCTTCCCAGCACGAACATCAGAGCTGTTCTTCCTTCTGCATTCCTTTCTCAACGTTTACATCTATCTGTGGCAACATAACCTACCTCAACAGTTTCCTAAGTTTCTTTACATTTCTGTTTTTCCCTGTTAGATTTTACACCTCTTGAGCACAAAGTCCGTCACTTGCTAACCCTTTTATCTCCACTGTGTGACACACAGTAGGAAACAATCAATAAATCTTGGCTAAATGAACAATGGCTTTAGATGGTAATATGCATAATGTAAAATATTAATTGTGAGTCAGACATAGCATATAACCTATTTTTCCATTCATTGCATGGCACTGGACAAGTCATTTTCCTTCTCTGAAACCTCACTTTTTATTTTAAATAACAACACACAAAATTTATATTTCTTTCTTACAATGAAGATGACAAATAGCCAACAAACATGTGAAAAAATGCTCATCGTCCCTAATCACTGAAGAAATGGAAATCAAAACAACTCTGAGACAGCACCTAAGTCCAATGAGATTAGCCCACATCAGAAAGTCCCGAATCTGCAGATGCTGGCGTGGATGTGGAGAGAAGGGAACACTTTTACACCAGTGGTGGGATTGCAAAACAATATAATACAACCTCTATGGAAAGGAGTATAATGAAGTCTCAAAGAACTAAAAGTCGACCTTCCATTTGATCCCACAATCACGTTACTAGGTATCTACCCAGAAGAAAAAAAAAATCATTTTACCACAAAGACACTTGTGCCAGAATGTTTATTGCAGTTCATTCACAATGGCCAAGATGTGAAAAGCAACACAAATGCCCATCAACCCATGAATGGATTAACAAACCACAGTATACATATACCGTGGAGTACTATTCAGCCATAAGAAAAGATGGAGACTTTACATCTTTGTGTTTACCTGAAGTTGAAATATATTCTTCTTAGTAAAGTGTCTCAAGAATGGGGAAAAAAGTATCCAATGTACTCTATACTAATATGAAACCAATACATAAACAACTACACACCACATGAAAGAAAACACACAAGAACAGTCTAGCAAGGGGGAGGGCACAGGAGGAATGCAGGCAGTTGGGAGGGGGCTAGAGACTGATAGGCTTTCACCTAATGCACATAACGTGGGGGTGTTCAGGGTGAAGGGCTCAACTACAACTTGAACTTTACCTTAGAATTGAAAACAATGTAACCAAAACATCTGTACCCTCATATTAATCTGAAATAATGATAAAAACAAATCCCAGTTGGGCTACAATTACAAGGTTTACAGTACAGGTGATTTTCTAATGAGATTTAAATGAAATGGAAGATTTTCTTCAGTAACTAAACGCTAAGAAAAATCAGTCTAAAAAGAAATGCAAGTACATAAGTGTTGATATTTGAATAAATAGATATCTACAAATTATCCTGTCACAATTTTCCATATATTAATGAATTGCCAGGTTGATCCAATAGATGAAAATAATTGATGATTATCCCATAGAACAAAAGAATTTTTTTTCTACAATTAAAAAATTTTCCATTTTATTGGCTTTTGATATCTTCCATTAAATTCGAATCATAATACCAAAGAACCATGATAGAGGAAAGTTGCCTTAAGAACAGAGAATATACCCCTCTTCTTTTGTAAGAGGCACTCACAAAGGTGATCTTACCCTCAAAACCCAAAATACATTAAGTATACATTAAAACCAGCGGTTCTCAACCTGTGGGTCGTGACCCACAGAAACTATATTAAACAGCCACAGCATTAGGAAGGCTGAGAACCACTGATTTAAATAAAGATCAGTTCCAGCTGTCCTGACTTCTATACACTTCCAGAGACACTCCCCCATGTAATAGGCAAAAGAATTAGTCTCTGTGAACATCTAGTTCTTATATTTCAACAATTTACCTTCCTTTTTACTCTCTTACTTTATACCAGTATAGTTAAGCTAATTTCCAAATGTTAAAACAAAAAATGCAAATGTAGCTTAAATGCACTGCAGTAATATCTTCCCCTGCAATGTAGTATTATAACTTCAAGTGCTCAGTTACACAAAAAAAAATGTGGCTAAACCAAATAGAATGACTTGAAAATCATAAATATTATCACAACTTTAGGCTTCAAAGATTAATTACCTTGTTTTCTGCTAACCAGCGATGTGAGTCATAATGTATGTCAGAACCAGAAGAAAAAACCTACAAGAAAGAAAAGCCTATTAGAAATAGATTTTCTCTAACAGAAACTTACATAAATGAAATTCTTCACCATAGCATCCAGAATTTTAGTCCCAAAATTAAGGTTTAAAACTAAGAAAGTTTGAATCACCTACTCAACCCATTACCACTTATTTATATGCCCCTTATGAGTTTGTTTGTATGTTTACCTATTGACAGTAAATATTTAATTCAAATATAAACTAAGGGAAGAATCAACTACAGCAATATGCACACATATCAGGAGGTGTGGAAAGATTTGAAAATGGGAAAAGACTTCTCTTTGCAGAAGAAGAGGATACTTTTAAACAGGAAAATTCTAGAAAGAATACCCATAAAAATGCCATACGTAATACAGGGTTTAAAGAAAGCTTTGCTTTAGTAATAAGGTAAAACTAGATGGCAAGGGATTTACAGATGAATTGGTGTGAAAGAAACCAAGGCAGCTAGGCATCAAGGCAATTCTGTGTATTGTAGGATTTTGTTATTGAAATATAAAGCAGTGTTTGCAAGAAGTCGTGTTAAAAACTGTCTGTTCTTGACAACTCATTGATGAGAAGGGTAAATTAGAGAAAGAATTAAGTTTCCACATAATCACATCTAACTGTATGTGAAATACAGAAAGACTGAGAAAAACACACACACACACACACACAAATGAAGTAAACTGGCTTTACAGCTACTTGCCATGTGGGACTCTGAATCAGCCTCTCAGAGGGTATAGCAGTGATAGCACCTAATAGTTGATTCTTCCCTGTCTTTATGTTTGAACTATGAGCAAGATATATCTTTAATTCAGACACTGTTCTAATTATTCTATGATAGTAATAGTTTACTGTATGCCTGTCCTTAATTTTCAAACACTACATGCATTCATTAACTTAAGTGGAATCAGTAAAAAATATAGTGACTGGACAAAGAAAATATAATTTAAAATAGAGTTCATTCCTCAGGATTTTCCTCAAACTCGTTTTTTACATGTCTATTTTCTAATCCATTCCACACTACATTTTCTACATATAATGGCTGAAAATTTTATCAACCATATTTCAAGAACCAAAAATTGACAAATAATTGGATTTATTACCGTTTTGAAAACATTTTACATGATTCTTCTACCACTCTCCCACAGAACTATAAACCACAAAGTAAAGAATCAATTTTAACAAACCTCTTGTTGGTTTTTTGGATGACAGAGCAAGTGCTATGTGTTAGGGTATTCTCTTACTTTTCAAGTTTTTAGAGGAAGAAAACAATAGATGTTACTAATAGAAAGAGACCCATAATAAAAAAAAGTAGACCCTTAAAAGAAATTAAGTTTGTCGTTTACTTTCCACCCATGATTTGGGTTAGATTAGTCTTTCTCTAGAGGAAGAGGTGTAAAGATCCATTCCCGCAATCACTCCATGCCTGAAAGCCTATTAAAGAATAGGGTGCTTATTTAAATATTTTAGAAGGATAATTTGTGCCTCATAAAGACATAAAATGTTTAAACAATCTGTTATCTAC